ATGAAACTTTAAATTATATATATGCTGTATATATTATTGAATTATATACAGCTCTTTTTAATATATTTTGTAGCAAAAGTTAGATGGTTTTAATTTGATAGAGTCTGTCAAAGTTCTCACTTCTGTCGTGATGGAACAGTATAGACCCCGTCGATAAAATGTGCAGGTAACTTTTTCATTCATTGCATAAAACATGTAATATAGTGTGGCACTCACACTTCTGTATGTTTTCATTGTACTATTTCCATGAAAAAAGGGGGAATTAATGAAGAAACATTTTGCCCCTGTAATTACCGTCAAAACAATTATGTACTTAGTTTTCTTCCAACAAATGCATTCAGCGGCATTGTTTTGCCGCAGTGAGCCGAGCGGCTGCAAGACTAAAAACCTTTCATTCCCGCAAAGGCCGTTTTCTGGTCACCGTCAATAAAAGCATAAAAGCATTCATTTCCCACGTTCATCAAATTAACAGCATACTCCATCTCCCAGAGGGCTGCGGGGTTCGTTAACCTCTCCGTGAAGTGCTCCTGGTTCCCCAGCAGTTTCTATAACCTCTGAGCTGCTTCTATCTCAATTATAATACAAGAATTAAACAGCCACTGCGGTGATTCACTGAGTACTGCCTCTTTACAGAGAGAGACATTGCGTGTAAAACCCAGAGTCGATCCAATTTAGTCTAGATTGGTGCATTTTAAAAGACTGTGCGCTGTTATACAGTAGGAGTCTTGTTGAAGTGTGATATCCTAATGTCATTTGAAGTTCTGGATATACAGTACTGTATTGCACCTAACGCCACTTGAATTCACATGTTAGTATTAGAAATGCTAATTTTGCTGGAACTTTCTGCTACATTTTGTCGAAATCCTTATAGTTCGTTTAATATCTAATTAATGTATTTATTGTGCCATTTTGACACTTTTCCAGGTCACTCATCCTAAAGTTCATGAATAAAGAGAGATTATTGCTGAACACAACCCCCAAAACCTCCCACAGAGTTCGTTTTTACTGTCCTTTGAAGCTCCTTAAGACATCAAGTGACCTTGAGCTAATTAAGGATTATTACATGCCTGTTGAGTCCTCATAATAGCTTTTAATAGGGATTTAATTGCTATTCATTTATAATTGGCTGGACCTAACCACCAAATATCAAATTTTTTTCTCTTTTCAACCTCATCCTCCCCCACACAAAGAACAGAGGCTGAAGAAATTACATTTCCACAACTTTACTAAGTGTGTAGCATAGAGATGCACCGATCGATCGGCCAGGGATCGGAATCGGCCGATTTTTTGGCGAGTATCCAGTTAAACACAGTAAGTTTTGGAACGTTAAATAGTTGAGAAAGAGAACGCATGTTGTGTAACAGTATATTGGGCCGTGGATAAACTCTTAAAGGGACCACAGTCCAATATTCCTGCTGCTGTCTGTCATGTTAATCAAAGAACAAAATGAATACGTTTTGTAACCTTAATGGTAAGCATTAATCTGTATTTAATTTGTACAATAAAGACTACAGAAATTAAAGTAACAGCAAAAATAGGTATCGGCAGATCACACTAACGAAAAATCGGAATCGGCCAAGAAAATTGCAATCGGTGCATCTGTAGTGTAGCACTATGCGCTGCTATATTTACATAGTTATGAAGAGAGAACCACATTGAATATATATGTATATGTATATATATATATGTGTGTGTGTGTGTGTGTGTGTGTGTGTGTGTGTAATTACCAATATGAGTTGTGATCAGGGGCGCCATTACGGGGGGTGGCTATAGGGAGCCCCAAATCACGACTTTGGATTAATTTTTTTTTTTTTTTTTTTT